TTTTGCAATAGATTGTTGTTTGAAGATCGAGGTCTCTCGCTCTCAACATAACAGAGGTCCATGGGTTCTGGAACTCCAGTCTCTTGTCGTCTCGGTGGGCGATAAGAGTTTGAGCTAGCATGAGCCTGTATCATGCTAAAGCTATCCTGTTCCGCAGCTGCGATTGCTTACTAAGCGTATCCAGCCTTAAGCGGAACAGGTGGTTGCTGACGGGCCCACCTGCTAGCCCTTGCATGAAGACAGTAATCAACGTGTGTTCGTGTACAGGGTTAGCAGTCATACTACTCGCGAGGAGTCGTATATGCTGAGCATAAGCGTGTACATCACGCTTACTTTGTTTGAGTTTCAGGAGCTCAGATCGAGCTCTGAACTCAGCCCATGACGGGTCAAACGTTTGTTTAAGCCGGGTCTCAAAGGCTTCTAGCGAACCGATAGCATATATGTCGCTCATCTCGAGATCTAAGGCTTAAGTCTTGGCACGTCCTGCCAAGTTGCTTGATCAAATGTGAGTTTCATTTGATCATCGTCGATACGACGTGCCTTTATATCTCTGTCTAGTTCGACGAGCCATAATAAAAGGGAGTTTTCCTCGACTCCTCTGTCCTTGGAGATGTTGACCTTCAAGTTTTGGGAAGACGCGTGTGTGACGTCCCGCCCACAGTAGCATTGAATTGCTGCTGTCTAAACAGCTCTGTCTGTTGAGCACCGAGCTCTCCCCACTGCTCGGCCTGTTGAGAGCCTTGCTGGTGAAATAAGACTACTTTCTCCCTTTCAGCGACAAGTTCATTTTGTATGAACCTGGCAATAGCGGTATGTTGTTGGTCTCTATCAAGAAACTGCAACATGGCGCTAATTGGGGATTCTCCTACGGTAAAAATCGTACGTCCTACAGCACTCCAATAGATGTCACTTAAATGGTTATGGACTTCAAGCGTGGCGTGAAAGCTTTCCTTCTCATCCAACATGTTCATGTTGAACGAGATAATCGTGGTCGTCTGACGGACTACAAAGTGCCACCAGGTGTAACGGGGCATGCTCTTACCAGATGACTGGTAAGACCTTGTGTAAACCGAACACAAAGCTGCGTGCTACTGACGTCACGTACACGTGGCGTGACGAAGCGCGAGGAAGTAGACATAACTCGAAATCTCTGTCTAAGGGAAAAGGTAGAACTGTATTTGCAATGGTTAAGTTTCTTTAATAAACCATCGTTGTCTTCATCTTACTCTATTGAACTACAATCTCATATGTGGTTTTCTTGCTCATCACCCATTGCGCACGTCCAGCAGCAATTGGTGATTAATTTAGTTGATGTATCGTGTACATCAACCAATAAGTGGAGCAACCACGAATATTACCCTCGGATGTAAGATTCCGCCAACATTACCTCTTTTCGAGTAATGCTAACTAAATACACTCACCCCCTCTTTATAAGAGACAACGTTTTGCCCAATTTTTACAGCGTGTCTTATAAAAGTGTCTTATAGAGAATATAAAAGGAAGAAGTTTTATGATATTTTTCAAAGCGTGACCCGCCGATATAATGAAATGTAACGTTTTTATACTAAATAAAGTCCCTCATATAGAGCTGTTTCGCCCTAGCGTGCCGGTTCTTGCGAATGACTGACGACATCTTATCCAGATCTGACTGTATGATTCGCGTGTCCTCATCGGAGATTATGAAGTACGAACGCAAATGCAGGCAGCATTTTAGTGCTTCTTTTGCACTGACAGGCGCTTGATCTTCGTCGCTTTCGACTTCCGCGGGACCCACTTCTGCTTCTATCAGAGCTTCTTGTTCTTCGTGAATCTGCTCGTGGTCCTCGATTTCGACATAATCACCCACGCTAACGGTTACACAAAGCTTTTGAAACATATCAGCCAGATCGCAGCGGTCTTGTTGGAAGGCGAGGCTGGACTGTCGATAGTCGTTTTGTGCACGCAAATCCGCAACCTGGGGCGCTTCGATGATCCCATTTTTGATCCGGCAACTTCGAATGATCTTCCCGCCAATACTGTTCCAGCTTTTAGCTGGAAACTCAATGAATTCTAGAACATTAAGTCTGCTTTCCATTTTTGCTTCGATCAGATCCATGCGCCATCGCATATGAAGTTTCCTGTAGCAAGCTATAAACGGTCGGATGATATTTATATAAAATACATCTAGGTGAAAAAAGATTTATGTGGATTTAATACGCATATGTATACATTATGAGATTAATGCGTACCTGCATCGAGCGGCTGTATAGCGGAAGTCATTCTAGGCGGAAAAAATACCGCATGACGTTGTTGAGTTCTCGTTGAGCCTTGTGACTGGAAGCATTATCGAGAAGTAGCAGGACTTTGCGACCATGCATTCGAAGATTAAATTGATGCAGCCACTTATCAAAGATAATAACAGCCATCCAGTCGTTTGAGTTCGCAGCGTAAACGATGCCACGCTTCTCGATCTCCACACCCCTAAAACACCTTGGCTTTTTAAACTTCCCGACTATCGTGGGCTCCAGATTTTCAGAGCCTCTCGAGTTGCAGCACAGAGCAACTGTTAAGCGTGGCTTTACGCTCTTCTTGCCGTTGTTCCGAACCGTGGATATGATTTTGTTCGGTGGCAAGTCGTAAAATAATGCTGTCTCATTAAAATCAAACACATCACACGGAGAATATTGTTCAATCAGAGATCGGATCTTAGACTTTGCTGCGTGCACATCCTCGACACATAAGCTCCCGCTATCGCCGGTCAGCGCGCGGCTTTTGATGTTGTTTCGCTTCTTTAAACTCTGTAGTCAGCCTTTGTAAAGATTAAGATCGTGATGTTTGATATCATGGCTCACTCGAAGTCGGTATGCTTTCTCCAGGACCAGATCCACAGATGACCCGTCACTCTCGCGCTCGAAAACGAATTGTAGCAGCTCCTTCTCGAACTCAGGATGCTTTACACGTCGCTTTTTTACATTAGGGTTTAAGCACTCAAAGCCGATTTTTTTCATGGCCATGAGCCGATGCGCCGTTAATTTATTAATGCTATGCTGGAACTAAATGCTCACATAAGTCTGCACTTTGTAGAAGCGGATGTTTAAGCGTTATTTGCAGTGTTGAAAGACCTTGACTTCTGCTCTAGAGAGAGGGATACTCGCTTTGTTAAACTCATTGGTTGCACGGGCTTGATGTTCTTGAGTAGACGTGTTGTATCAGTGGTGTAGTCGAGTATTTACGAAAATTAAAATTTATTTCTTCCTATCTATTGCCTTACGAAGTTCTAAATTTTGTCTTCTGTATCTGTTGTCATGACGTCATCAGTAATATGGGCCTCATAAGCTCGCCTATTATGATATGCTCTATGTCTTTCCTAGGTCACGTCTGTGGTTCTATGATGTTGCCAAATAGGTTTAAGACACATCTTGGCTAGAACAACTGTCACATCATATCTCACGTATCTATTTCAGCATCAGAAGTAGGGGTAGTAGTGAGTCATATAGAGAGGGTTTTCACCTCAATTGGGCGAGTGTTTTTCGTGTCTTATATCTTACTCGCTTATAAAGAGAACGGTATACAACTTCCTATATAGTTTGAAACGTTCGGCGGCACTGTGACCCTTATATAGAGGCTGTCTCTTATAGAGAGTCTCTTATAGCGAGGGGTGAGCGTATACTGTAAATAGATAATATTCAAAATGATACATTCGTTTCAATTTTACGTAACGGGCTCATCCCGTCAGAGTAATCGACTCACTTTCGAACAGGTGGGTGTATCTCTAGACGACAGCGTCGAGGAACTTTGGCAAACAGACATGCGGCAATTCCATGCGGTTGCCAAGCAGGAGTACCGGAAGGTTGAGACAAAAATTCAAGGAGCGCGTCTGCTATTATGTCAACGACAGGATGCCAGACGTCCACGAGAGCCGTCACCTCAGGTGACAAGCCCCGTACAACCACCGGACTTTTCTGAGGAAATGGCGTTGCTAACAGGCATCGGATATATTGGACATCCTCCAACCGATAACAGGTTAAATAGACACGTCTGCGTCTCTTTCAGCCAGTGATGATAACAGCAGCAGCACAGTCTACGACAGTGGATGCTGCCAATTCCAGACGCCGAGTTATTGGTGTCCATGCTAAGCTAGTTTCCTTTTTATTTTTTTATGTCGTGCGAATGTGACAGCCGTCGTTGTTGTTGTTGTTGTTGCTGATGTTGCTGATGTGCATGCTCAGAGACACACAAACGGTACTACTCATCGCACTGGACAGTATCAATGCAAAACGCGTACTCCGCACAGGACACGTGTCAGGAATAGCTTCTTCTGCTTCTGCTTCTTCTTCTACTCGCGCAAGTTTCTTTTCGTCTGCAGAATGGGGTAAGTCAGAAGCCCTAATCGCTGGCTGCAGAAATTACCCCTCAGATTTTGTCACAAACCTCTCGTTGTTTGCTCGTTGTCGCGCTCAAAACGTCGTCACGAGCTCGTGAACGTCTCATGCTGTTGCTGTGAGAGCTGATCAAAGTCGCCAGCGATGGAGGAGAATCGGAGCAAAGCCACGTGAGCAGTTTCACGCGTTATGAGGCGGCGCTTAGTCGCAAGAATCGCACGAGTTGAGTAGCCGACCGCAACGTTTACATTATCCATAAATTAGAACGTGCACGCGCTATCGCACATGTCTGTACGCCACGCAGCTGGGAGTTGCTCAACAAGTTACTCAACAAGTACATGTGCCACTGCGTAGTGAGAACTCTACAGTTCGCGTGGGCAGTCGTCGATGGGAGACGGAGATAATTGGCGACTCGACGTGCCAAGGCAATGGCTCTATCCATTGTGCATCTCCGTCTCAGGATTCTTGCACGACTGCAATCACGCGGTGTCGAGTCCACGGCAGTCCCACGAGTCGAAACGACAGTCTCTGGTCTGCAGCTGCGAGACGGCGTCTCCTGATCGCTCCTTCGCGCGTCACCGACTGACTGCACAGCCCGTGAGCTTCAGCTTCAAGAGCCACGTCGACCAACGCGTCGCGTCACGTTTGCTGCTCTCGTTGCGCCTGTGCAGCCACGACGCCACGTGGACCCCACACGCCAAGCGACAAGCGCCGGATCAAGTCCACGCCCGCACCTCGTCCACCGCCACTGCTGCCTCGTCGCTTTTGCGTAGAGAAGCGGTCGCAGTGGTGGGACGCCGCCTCGCACTGCATTGAGAAGCTGCGTGACGCGCCCGTCGGGGCGCCGCAGCGTTTGGTCTGCTCGGGCGCCGCCGCGAAGAAGCCCACAATGAGCTCCAAGAGCGCACAGCCGCGCAGCCGGCACTTCTGCAGCTCGCGCGGCTGGCACAGCGTCAAGCGCATGGCGAGTTTGCGGAAGAACTGGTTGAGGTCGCCCGCGCGCGTCTCGAGCTTGTGCCGCGTCAACAGCAGGTGCTTCTTCGGGAACGCGTCCTGCTCGAGGCCAGCGAGGAAGTGCGTGTGCTCCGTGCACAGCCGCTGCGCGTCGCCCGTTGCCGCCGCCAGCGCCCGGCAGAGCTCGCGCCAGAGCTCGCGGATCTCGCTGTACCGCTTGTCCACCCGCCAGTGGCTGCGACTGCACGTCACTTGCAGCGAGTAGAGCCACGAGCCGTCCGACGAGAGGCGGCGCTCGCCCACTGTGACGTGCAGCGTACTGAGGTCAGACAGCTGCGGCGTCGAGCCGTCCGTGGACCGAGTGGCTGTACCCATTTGGGGGTTCGTCGCTCGAGTGGCAGTCGGCCCGCGCGTCGCGTCGAGTGAGTTGGCAAATGGGACTTGAGGGGAAGTTCAAGTTGGGCGGTCGGTCGGTCGTCGGTCGTCGGTCGTCGTGGGTCAAGTGGGTCAAGTGGGTCGAGTGGGTCAAGTGGGTCGAACCATACAAAAAAAGGCGTGAGCGGAAAAGGCACGGGAACGTTCGACCCGATCGAGTCGGACACTACTGTCTGGTCGACACGCTGTCGTCACGCGCAGTCATAACAAAATCGAGTCAAAAAAGCGTACCGACGGTTCAGTTCACAACTAGAAGAACGACAACAACGAGAACAACAACAACGACAACGACAACAACAACAACGACAACAACGAGAACGACAACAACGAGAACAACAACAACGATTGTTTGAAAGAACAACAACGATTATTTGAAAGAACAACGCAGCAAGACGAACAATGACTACCAACCGAATACCGGTATAATGCGGTCGACATTTGCCGGTATCATGCTGACACCGACACATTCAGTGTGCGGGACAACTCGATCCAGTAGTGCTACTTCTTAGTTGTAACGGTCTCTTTTTTTGGTGAACCCTTTGATGCCGTTCGACTGATTCTGAGCACAGGAGAGAGAGATCGGCGAACAGTCGTCTTGGCTGATATTAGCCGAAAAGTACCCGATTGGTGGGCAAAGACGTGGGACAGCGCCATCGACTGCACCTCTGTCATATTATTACTTCAGCAGATGTTGTACCACGTGGTCCGATCTGACAGCTGCAGCTGTGCGCTTGGGATGACAGCCGTCCAAGTCGCCATCTTCTTCACGAGCAGAGCTTTGGCCCACGTGGACCGACTGCGTGATGGGCTGAGGCGCGGGAGAAGGCCTGCGAGCTGTGCAGGTCTCGTCCTGAACACGTCGCACCAGTGCCGTGCTCAAGACGCTGAGCAGCTTTTGCGCGTTACGAGGGGAGAGAGTCCTCTTGCGTCCTCTCTATGAACGTGTAGTGCAAGTGTTGCCCTGCGGAACGGACACGAAAAGCTGCTGATGGCGTCTGCGTTGGTCTTCGGTCATCGTATGGTCGCTGAAGGTACATAGATCGGTCAGCACATCTGTGGTCTGTGCGCCGATCTCTCGACCATTAACGTACAGAAAGGAGCTGTGACCCGTGCACTTCGTACTCGCAATTGGTCGAGTAGCTCTTCGCATGACCGCGTGTACGACTATAGGGCGCACGTGCGTGGAGGGACGTCGCTGCGCTGACTGTAACTGCGCAATCCGTCATCACCACTAACTTGAGGCGCATTGCCAACGGCTCGAGTCAAATTGGCCGCATTGAGGTCGTCACGAAGCTGCGTCGATCAGACGTTGGGCTAAACGAAAAGACCGCCTGAGAACGGGCTACAAAGAGTGACGCTGTACCCACTCACCTGGTCACATCGAGTAGCTCATGTTTGTGCTGTCATGCAAGAACTTGTACGGAAAGGGCGTTACGCCGCCTTATAGATTGGTGAACTAAAGCCGTCACATTTTGGCAATGACAGCAGAGACAACAGAATTCATAAAGGTCAGTCGTTGATCGGAAAAGGGACGCGAGCATGCTGCGGAAATCTGTAGCGTACAACATGCACTACTGAGCTCGGGTTGTGGTCCGTGTGGTTCCTCGAGAGATGAAGAAGAAGAAGAAGAAGAAGGAGCACGAGCCGAACTGCTATGAACGTGGACTCAGATTTGTCGGGTCGGTTCGACATTGGCTTCGCATCCCCAATGTCGCAATCCATTGCGTGAACGGGTCGGCTGAATGAGACCAATTCGCAGAGCGCACAAGCAGCGGCAGAAAGTGGTTCTCTTGCGGGGGGTACCGCGTTTACGTCAGCAGTGACGCTTAGCGTCTCTGGACAGAGTGCCCGTCGCTCAAATGCTCCACGCAGCTCATCAGACTTGAGCGGCTGCTGTGCTTGCAGACTCATTCGTGACGGTCTTAACAACTGACCTTCGGACGAAGCGGTGTGCCGGCAGACGCTGTTTCGGGCGCACTGATTCCTTCTGGACACCGACAGATGCATACGGAAAGAGTTAGACCCCAGCGTGCGTTTGCTAGAGCCACGTATGCCGACACCGGATATCCAAATCTGGAAAAGCGGCGGCCGACATGTGCGTTTCTCTGCTCTCGACTTTCGCGACAGCTGGCAACTGTTTCTTCGACTTAATTTGGATAAGCATGACACGGTCGCTGCTTCTTTGTTTAAAAGACGGTACGAAGCATGGAAGCAAAGGCCAGGGCTACGAACGACGCGGAGGGCAGCATGAGTGATCGCGACGACAGTCTTGATCTTGCGTGCTGTTGTTGTTCTGTCAATACGATACGCGGCTGAGCCCGCTCACGGACAATGTATATCGCTTGAGCTTTTCCCGGTACACGATCAATGCGAGTGCTTGTCCCAGATGCAGTATACCAGCACGTCCCATGCTTGCGTGGGCCTGAACCAAGAGACCCATCATTTACGATGCATTACTCACGTTGCCATCCCATGACACAGTGCTATTGGCAAGGCATTCCGCCAACAAGACAAACGAGCCCAACGCAGCCCTCAAACCGTATATTGCAAAATCGCGAATCCTGTCGTGCAGTGAAGAAACATAACGAGACAGAGCACCACTAGAGAGTATCCAGCACCTCAAAGCAATTGGTTTTCGAGACACGAGATCAATTGAGAAAACGAGTAGAGTTGTGGTACACAGGAACGACAGCTTTTCCTGCATGCCGACTGCATTTACACTCATACACTCGACAGAAGCCGCTGGCAAAAGGCCCTCCGCGCTTACTCGCGCTCGGTTGATCCTCGTGCCACTGCCACTTGAATCAAAACCAAACTGCTGACTGCCGAACGCGAGCTCAATGAACGCCTCTCGACTCTTCACGAGATTTCGCTTCCTCCACTCGTACGCGGTAGAGAAATGCGCTCACTTTTCAGTCCTCTACATCTGCTCCAGTCCCAGTCCCCGTTTACTTTTACGCCTTCTTTGGCCTCCAGTGGATAAATGACGCGCGGAACATTCACATGCGTCACACTTGTTCCAGTCCAATGCCAAGAGATGTTACACAAACGGCGTCGACTTTTCTTATTGCGGCCGGCGTCGATTGCACATCTTTTGCTCCCTCGGCTTTATAAATAGAGTGCTTTTCTCTGCGCTGCAGTCATTTTCGACAGCGGTGCCAAAAAAGTGGTCGCGAAGTCGAAGTGATGTGGTACACACGCACCGCTCCCGTCCTATCGATTGGCTGGCGGCCCATTCCAAGTCGCTGTTGCAGCTGCGGCGGCCGAACCCGTGGCCAGGACGAGCGCGAGACGTGACGAGATGGCTACAGGCCACTCGAACGGCCGCAAGCGTACGTACAGTAGCGAGACGCACTCGAAGATGCAGCGCAGGCCGAAGGACGCGCCGAGCGGTACCGCTGCTGCGCTCTCGAGTTCGGGCTCGACGCTGTCTGCCAGCACAGCCGAAGCAATGGCCAAAGCGAAAGGCAGTAGTGGGGACGCGACGCGCGCAGTGGACCCCGCGAGTCAACTGGTGGCGCTCCTGAGCGAAGCGAATGTGGCGTGGTACGACGTCGAGCCGAAGCTCAAGCCGAAGCTCAAGCTCAAGAGCCACGACGCAGCGGAGCCGCTGCAAGCGTCGGACCAGTGGGTGCAGACGCTCAAGCGGCAGGCGCAGCAGCTGTTGGAGCAGGAAGTGACGCGGTTCGAGGCGCACAAGAAGAGTTGCAAGTTGTCCAGCGACGACAAGTACTTGGCGACAATGATGAAGTCCGGCACGCTGTCGGACAGAGTTGCTGCACTCACGCTCACGTCCCAAGCCTCGCCGCTGCACTCGTTGTTGCGCTTGAGTCAGCTCATCACGATGGCCAGCAAGAAGGCTCGTCGCGAGAGTCTCATGGCGATCGACTCGCTCAAAGATCTGTTTCTAAACACGTTCTTGCCCGAGAACGCCAAGCTGCGGTTTTTCCACGAGCATCCACTGCGTGCCGCCCAGTCGTCGCCCGCTCATTTGCTGCTGTGGTTCTTTGAGCACTGTCTCAAGACGGCCTACGCGCAACTTACGAGTGTCTTGGCAGCCGGAATGGACGACGCTGTCGACAGCTACAAACGTGCGTGCCTACGGGCGGCCAACGCCTTGTTACGAGCTAAACCTGAGCAAGAAGCTGTGCTGTTGACCATGCTGGTCAACAAACTTGGAGACCCAGATCGCAAAATTGCAGCGTATTTGCACCGTATGCTGCAGACACTGCTGCGAGAACACCCGGCTATGAAGCGCGTGGTAGTAGATGAGGTCGAGCGACTGCTTACCCGTCGAAGAGTGTCAGATCGCGCAAAGTACAACGCTGTGCTATTTCTGAACCAGATTTTTCTCGAGGGCAATGGAGCAGATGCCGATCTCGCTGGTCACTTGATCTCGGTGTACTTCGGTCTGTTTTCCAAAGCTGTGCATCGAAATGATGGTGGAATGAAGCAGACGCTGAAGACAAAGATAACATCAGGTGCGAAAAAGACGACGAAGAAGAAGAAAGAAGTGGCGAGCGTTGGTGCGGAAGAGGCCATGGACCGGAAGCTTCTGAGTGCGCTGCTCGTGGGTGTCAATCGTGCATTTCCATACGCGAATGCCACAATGGCGAGCTTGACCGAGGAGGTCGACGCGCTGTTTCAAGTTGTACACCGTGCCCACCATAGCACGAGTGTGCAAGCTCTCATGTTGCTGTTTCAGGTCATGAAGAGCACCGACTCAGTTTCCGATCGGTTTTACACTGCGCTGTACGACAAGCTGATTGATCCTAAGGTGCGCGAGACTTCCAAGCACACGCTTTTTCTGAATTTGGTGTTTCGTGCCATGAAGGCAGATGTGTCACCTGCGCGTAGCAGTGCGTTTATGAAGCGTTTGCTGCAGCTTGCTAGCGCGATGCCGCCGGCTTTCACATGTGCTGTACTGTTCTTGCTATCTGAATTACTCAAGGCGAAGCCCCAGCTTCGTACGTTGGTGGACCAGCCCGAGGGTGGTTCGGGGAATGGCGACGTTGCGGACTTGGAGCACTTTTGCGATGCTGACAAGGATAGTCGTGGATTGGATTGTGATGAAGAAGAATCATGTGAAGAGGGGACTACTACAGAAGAAGCTGGGTTGCAGACGCAAGACGATGGTGTAACGGACGCAGAGCGCTCAGCTAAGATCCTGGCCCAGATGTTTGGCGAGACTGACACAGTGGGTGAGAAATCCAAGAAAGCTGTCGTGGTAAGCTATGACGTCGAATCTACTGCTACGAGCACCGACTGCAGGAAGACTGCAGCTGTTGCGAATGGATGCAGCTACGACGCGTCTAAGCGTAATCCGCTTTTCTCTGGTGCTGAGACCACTTGCGCTTGGGAGCTGGACATGTTGGCGCACCACTACCATCCGTCCGTGCAGAGTTTCACTCGACAGCTTCTCGACAACAAGGGTATGGGCATCCAGTACAGCGGAGACCCGTTGGTGGACTTTACGATGCACGCTTTTTTCGAGAAGTTTGTCAACAAGAAGCCACGCCACAAAGTGGCTGAGATGCGTGGCAATACTGGGGCAAAGGCGAAGAACTGGACGTTCGCACCCATTAATACGGAGACTGTGCTGCAAGAGAACGAGGCCAACGTCGACGCAAGCGATCGCTTTTTTTACAAGTTTTTCAAAGAACGTGCTTCTCGTGCTGCAGAGCATTCCGGTAGCCACCGTACCAAGAAGGTGAAAAATGAGCGTGACGGCGACGTATTATCTGCCATGGAGAATGACGATGAAAGCGACGAAGAGATCGAGGCTTACGCGCAGGAGTTGGCCGAAGGCATCATGGAAGACGGTAACCTGGACGATGAAGACCCTGATATGGGCAATTGGAGTGATTCGAGCGATGCTCAGGACCCGGCACTCGATGTCGCCGACGAAAAGATGGAGGGGCCGCAACGTGTCGTAACAAGCGCTATCGATGAGGAAAGCGACGACGAAGAGCACGATAGTGACGTCGAGGATGCATTCGACTTCTCAGTCACGGGCGCGATGGATAGTGACGATGATGTGCTTCAAGAGGAGCTGCAACTGTTGGATGCGAAGCGAAAGAAACAGACTCCGCCCAAGGCGGGCGAGAAGCGCAAGGCCATGTTTGCGAGCGCCGATGACTACGACCAGATTGTGAAGAAAGCTATGGCCAAGCAAGCGACGAGCCGCAAACAGACAAAGCGCGAGAAGATGAGCAAGCCGCGAAAATAGTCATTTCTCAGCATAGCGTAGATACAGATAGGAAGCTGCAGTAAAGTGTATGAGAGTGCTCGTCTTACAACGATACGGGGCACAGATAAATTGTTTGCAGTGTCCAACAACGTCGTTTGCAACACGAAGACCTGACCACCCAAATGCGTCGACGAGTCTATTCCAAGGCAACATGACCTGAATGCGCCTACGAGTCTATTCCAATGCAACTGCGCGCGAGACTTGCAGCTTCTTGTGCTTGCTGCAGCGCGTTGGCGGAGCAAAAGTATCGAGACAGTTGCTGACGGAGCCTGTAATCATGCTCGCGAAGCCTCGCGACATCGGTATGCGACGCACCTTCACTGACGTTCTGGTTCAGCACGGCTGCTGTCGAATCCAAAAGCATATCGACGAGATTGTACGGAATCCACGCACAGTCTGGTGAAAGAGCGCTGGACGTCAATGGCTGCTCTTCTCTGCCGACGGCGGCAACATCAAGCAATAGACCTTCGACCAGCTCCAGCCCTTCTAGCAGCAATCCATGCTTCAAATAGAGCGCTAGTAACTTGACTGGATTTCCAGACGTTGAACTCGCCAGCCGCTCCTTCAGCCATTCGGGAAGCACAAGCTTGCGTCCTGCTTGTGGCCAAAAGTCCAGAACAGTCTCAGCAGCAACCTCGTACTGGTCTAGTGATCCCACATTAGCTAGCAACGACTCGAGAAGTTCCCATAACAAGTCACTGTCGGACCGCGAGGATGAAAGTGGAAGCGTAGGGTGCTCGCTGCTTGCACAGTAACGAGCCAGCGATTTTGTCAAACCCGACATTGTAGCCACCGGACTCCTAGCTGCAATGTCAGCTGCTATCTCAATAGAGTGTATTCCAGCTCTCCCACGTTCGGCCTCCGTTGAACTTCCTGTGCTGTGGCAGCTGCGGTGAACGGCGTCCACGAGCAAAGCAATCACCTCATCTCTATCCATCGTGCCTAGCAATGTACCTTCTGAACAGTCATACGATAGCAAACGTAACTTGCCGTCCAGTACAGACAAATCGCGTTTCACATCTTCCAGCGTGACCACACTCGTATATGGCATGGCCCTAACGTGTTCAGGAGCATCCAACGAAAGCCGTTTGAGCTCCTCAGCGTGCGTATTCTGCACGATCCAGCGGTTCTCACTGGGAAGCACTTGCAGGGCGTTGCAGGCCGCATTCAAGGCGTTTCGCTGCGCCTCAAGCACTGCTTTTGATGCCGATGCCGATATTGTCAGTCGTAAACGCTGCGCAAGAGTGTACATCGCAGACGCCGCACTTGCTGGTTGCTGTTTGCGCATGTAAAACGTGTAGAGCAAATTGTAATACCGGATGGCACTTCCATGCGAGCCGTCGCCTTGGACAACAGTAGCGTTGCCGGCTTGCCAGAGAATATGATTTTCCACTTGTGGCTGTAGTGATCCCCAGTGCAAGTCGCAGATGAGGTCAAACTGACCGTAGCGGTACAGCTCCTTCACAAGGTAGTTCACGCATTCACTGGCCGTGCTTTCAGCTTCCCCTGTACTCGCTGATCCACTTAACGAAGTCGCAAGTTCTGCTGTGTGCATAAGCGCAAGATGTGCATCATGAAACAGTCGCTCTTCGACGGAATACTTGAACACATTCACCCAAATGAACGTTTGTACCGCAAAACTCGGCTCACTACCGTCGTACTGAGCCAAGTGGCTAAACGCCTGCGAAATCACAGTCCAGAGAAAACTCAGCAGTTGGTCGTAGGACCCCCGGGGCACTGTCTCCTTCAGTAGCCCCACCACTTCGTATATAAACTGCTCCAAACCTTTTTCCGATAGCGAAAAGCGGTCATTTCGATTCAGCAGAAAGTTTGTCAGACAGATGCTGAAGCAGCGGATAGCTTGCTGGAAACACGAGCGAGCGTAATCGCGAGCATTGACATCGTCACCAGAGCATGCTGCAGCCTCCCGACTTTCGAAAGCTAGACACTCTCCAATCGAGCGCATGTGCTTGTGCACCTTATTGCCCTGCGGAGGTTGAGAAAAGCTTTTCTTCCAAGAGTCGTGCAAACTAAAGTCGCTGAGGTTGCAGCAAAAGATTGCACGCAAAATTCGGTACTGCTGCCTTTTCTGTAAGAATCGCATCAGCGAATCGTTCGGGTACGAAACGTGCTGTAGAATATCGCGTGTAAATGTCGTCAACACAGTATGCACTTCTTCGCTACGCACGCTGTTGCTTGCACTAGCGAGCTGCAACACTGAAAGCGCCCGCTTGAAGTCGTTCGATCCGTTTAGCCTTCCATTAATATCCAGAAGAAACATTTGCAGCAGTGACTGCGTGAGCGTAGCTGTCGATGCCGCAGCAAGATCTGCATCAGCACCTGACAGCGCAAAACCTTGGCTTACAACCCATTGACTAAGCCGCCAACGCTGGTATACTGAAATCGATCGAGGTAGATAAAGTTGTACAATCTTGTTTAACGTCGCGGGGCCCAAAAATGCGGGTCGTGTGTCCACCAAATACGCAAGAAAAAGCACCACACGAAGTGACTGGGCGCAAATCTCGTCGATTGCGCCCGATGCCACTTGGCCAAAAGCGTAGCATATTTCATGACCAGCGAAAAATAATTGGCGAGTAGTACAGTGGTCAATACTCAGGATATCTGCATTCGCCATTGTAGCTTTTCTCTTGTGGCCCTCATCACCAATAACGAGTTTGTATTCACGCTTGGATGGCGAGGGTATGTGGGCTCTTGGACCACGTCCAGACTCAAGCGGTGAGAAGTGCTCGACCAGGTCACACAAGACTTCGTCATGGATTGCATCATCACCACCAAGTATCTTGCCAAAGCGCAGAATCGCGCGGGTGAGAAGAAGATCGGCGCTGACACTTTGTCCAGCAATAGCGGCACAAGCAGTCATATCCGGGTTCAAGCCGAGGCGAACGCAGTGGCGTGCCAAAGCCACGAACGATTCCACTTTCTGATTATAGGCAACACCAGCGACTTCCGAGTGGACGAACGATTGAAAAATTTGGCTAGGAATCGCATCAAAAATCGGGAGGACGTCAGACACTAGTGCAGCCACGCACTCTCCACTCGTTGAACCTTGCTTCACTTGCCCAGCAAACGCAGCGGCGACTAATGGCGCAGACGGAAACAGCAGCGATATGCAGTTGCGGCGCAGCATCACAGGCGCACCAGATAGAAGCATGTTCATTGTCGTAGCAAAGCCTATTGGCACGTTTGCGCACCGCCAATGCTTTGTGCACAACGCAATAAGCTCCTTCCAGATCATTATGCGCAGCAAATTTGACGTTGATCCATTGCGAATAACGGCGGCGCCGGCGGCGTCTGCGCATCGGTGCGTTACAAGGCGAATGAGCGCGTCTTTATATTTTGGCAAACTGTGATCGAACAACGAAGGGGAGTCGGAGCTGCCAAGAGCATCGTTTTGTGCTTCCACGATGGCACTCGACAGATTTTGTCGAGAAAAACGCCCAGGTAATAGTACTCGCTCAGCAAAGAAGTCGTCAATTTGCGCCATAGCGTCTTCCTCGTTCGCGTCAAATAGCCACTCACTATCCTCCGCCTCGTACTTTTGCATCTGCACTTCGATGGTGCTAACAAGCTGACCAAATATACGTTTTGGGCCTGTAAGCGCCATCGGGTTTGCATGGGTGTACACTTCATCTCCTTCGTGCGAGCGCCATGACGAGAACAGCAAGTCTTTGTCCACCGCGAAATCCACCATCTTCAGCCCTCGCTTGATTCTTTGCTCCGGAGCCTGCACAGTAAATACCCTTGCAATGCTCAACACAAGTTCGCCACCACTAGCCCCGGCACTTGACATAGAAGCAAGTTGCACGTCGCCTCGCAGCAAAAAAATCTCCGGGGAGTGTGCTGCCAGGAAATCCAGATGCACCAGCAACCTGCAATTATCCGATTCTGTAGGAGACAGAGCCATTACCTTTGCATATGTAGCATAGACGCCGGTGCCGATATCGCAGCCGTCGTCGTCATTACTGTGTACATCTCCATCATTCCAGTCTTGTTCCTCAACCTCCACATCACAATCGTCTGGGGGTGTCGTCACTAATGCTCGAAGCTGTTGGCGTCCTGTGCACGACTGCGAGCTGAAACTCCATGCTCTTAGCACACAATCAGCCGAAATAGTGACCACACAAACGTCTTTGTCGATACCATCATCGTCTTCATCGATCTGGAAACAGGTCACGGCCAGTACTGCCGCCCCGTTCTTCATCCTCGTACGTGATTCGTCACAGCTTCCTGTTAGCTTGCCTGCAGTCGATTGGACAAGTCCATGCCAGAGCCAGCTTGCTACGGACTGGTCAGAGAATACAAATTCCCGCACTTTCCTCGGCTCGACCGACAAGCCGAGATTCACACCCATCACGCGGCCGGCATTCGTACCAACTACGGCATTGTACTCGTCCACCCAGAACACAGCAGTCAAGACCTCGTTGCAAGTCAAACTCTGCAACATATCGCAGCGACTGCAAGTAGCTGGTTTCGGCTCGGGCGTCGCAGTCACGTCAGCTTCAGAGAAAATGCTGAGCTCGATGCTGTTCGGCATGGAATAGGTGAAGCGGTAGATCGTTCCCGCGAGCGTCACGACGCTGATCGTCACTGCTGCTGCGTTGCCTCCTCCCGCTCGCGCATCGTCCCCGCTCTCGACGGCCAGCACTCCCGTGGCAACGACAGCGTCGGGGAACTCGAGCCGTATCCCGTTCCGCTTCAACGTCGTGTGGAAACTCCACTCGCGCAGCACCAGCACGTTCTCTGCCACTCGCCAACACACAAAGCGGTCCCGGAACCTCTCGCTCTGGTACACGAAACTGCCCGAGCCACGACACGCCACTGGCCGACCTGCGTATGTATACAAACGTCCGCATGCACGGGTACGTATCGGTGTATGTATACACAGAAGGGTGTATACACAAATCGACGGACAGCGAGCGGCGTTAGAAATGCCACGGATAGAAATCGACAGATAGAAATCGACAGATAGAAATCGACCCGTAGGATGCAATGGCCTCGTACCGCTTATAGAGCTCGGGCGCGGCTGCAAGCGACCCGTCGGACTGGGGATAGCAAACGTGGGCAGCGACGACGTGCTCGACGAGGCGCCATCGCTGTCGTCGCGGTCGTCGAAACAGGCAAATCGCGCCTCCTGCAGCAACGGACGCATCGCCGCGAGAGCTGTGGGTGGTGGTGCGAAGGCTCAAGTGCGGCGTGCAGACGATCGGATTGGCTGAAAACGAACGGACTCAGATCAATGGGGTGCACCGGTGAATGCCACATGCATGTGGTGTATCCATTTACCACAGAGTCTACTTCATAAAAGTTGTCGACACGCCGGTGCCTTTGACACAGGATACACGAAGGCGACGACGCGAGCAGCACGAATCAATGCCGCATGTAAGGGACTATGCTTAGAATGCATAGCGTAATGGTGTATCGAATATTGTGTGTCAGGTCGATGTGGGTCAAGAGTACCGAGCTGCTACGCTTCGTATGAGCATCATGTCCTGCACTGCAGATGGCAACATTGCGTCTATCCTCTCAGTATTCATCGCTGCGATGCCCACATCACCGCCGACATCACTGCCGACATGAGGTGCTTTTTGTTGTATCGGGGCCACAATACTCCATCTGCATTGTTTGTTTTATCCAGCGTGCAAGCTATCTTTGCATCCGCAAGCATCCGCGTGACCACCTGCAATAGCACGATCACCTGAAACAGCACCACAAATTCCGTCAACTTTCCGATATCTTGTCGCTTCTTGCTCGTTTTGTCGATCTGCCGTCACATGCTACCTTGGATCCTACCCATTATATGTCTTATTGGGCACTGTGTACTCGCTATTTAAACACGGCGCTGTCTCATCTCTTTCAAATGAAACTGATACATCTACGACGACACCTACACAAACAATGTCAAGCCATGCGATCTGAGTGAAAAAGTGTAAAGCATAATGTCCTAACAATGAAAGGGAAAACGTGGTACTGTGAGGCTACGCTTACAGCGGCAACGCACCTTCATCTTCGTGCAATTCGACCATCGAAAATTATAATCGATCTCAAACTAATGAGATACGAGAGGGAATGATGGAGATTTATCTCGATGCATAAAGCTAATTTGCGATGTACCTTTGTTCATTCGATTGTTTTGAACACACCACCGAGTGTTTGTTTTATTATTTGCTTTTGTTTGACCAATTTTTAGGACTCATTTAATTCCGTGCCATTTTTATTTGGCCACGACTAGGGGCACACCCCACTTTTGCTAGGAGCACACCCCACTTTTGCTAGGGGCACACCCCAATTTTACTACGGGCACACCCTCCCTTCTAAAATGATAAAAAGGACTTCACATTTTATGGTGTAGAATAATGTACGTATACGGTATAGTTCAGTTTTACGGTATGGATTGGTACGTACCTCGTCATAGACGTTAGCTGTAAATTCCACATATACTGCACGCGGCAAGTGTTTGTCCGTGTCTCATGGAATCTAACAGAAGCTCAATCGAGCTACAACTCACCACCAAACGGATGTGAATATCCGTAAAGCCATGACGATGCTGAAGAAAATAGTGGCAGTGTTGGAAATGGAAGTGTTACAAAGAGGAGCATGGACATATCAGGTCGTTGTATGGGAAAAGGACAGGTAGTTATGTGGGAACGGAGAACACCGTTTGGGCTGGTATGGACGTTATATGGGAACAGGGAACACCGTTGGGATAGGAAAGAATACCAGTCAGTAGCACCTCAATATATTTAGTCTTCATTTTACCTTCTAGTACGCAAGTGTGGGTGTGAACCGACACATAGTCGAACAGGGTTATGAGCTTAATACTGATAGAGTACACGAGTAAAGGGGTTCCGAAGAACTAAGACTGCAAGGATCGGCAGACGTAAAAATGGGCGGTGATCACTATATTGAGGAGAACGACCTCAAGGATATTGCAGTTGGTGACTTGAACGAGGCAATTTTTAATACTGCTTCCGCAGAAAAGCAATAAGAGTTCACAAAAAAATAGATTAAGATCATGCGAATGATTGATACATCGGTACCTCCGGACATTCTTAAGGAGATACGCGACAAGGAGACCGGATCGGACATGTGGAAAGAGCTTTTCAACCTATTGAAGGGAAGCAGAACGAAGCTATTTGGTAATATACGATTCGTCGCGTAAACCATGAGCTATATAATAACAAGCTTACACTTGACGGAGATGTAAATCTACATACGTGCAAGATGTTAAACCTCAAAGCGGAATAGGTTGACTTAAAGCACACGGTGGAAGATCACACTGTGGTTGAGATGCTACTTAAGTGTTTAGCAGATCAGATCGAGTTTGAGCGTCTCAAGTCTTCGATCTGTCATGGTGCAGATGTAAGTGCATATGCAGCGGCTCGATTACGTGAGATAGTTTTCTCTACGTCTGCCAAACAAAGAGAGTTTCGAGGCAAACGCTATGAACAGGAAAAGAGAGGTAGATTTTGCAGTGAAAAGCACAGATTTGGTGTGGACCGAGGTGCCTAACATCAAATTTGTGTTTGTGAATCAAGAAGGTTCGAGCGTGTCACTTATGCTGAAGTGACAAACATCTCAAAGCTAGCTGTCCTCAGAAGACACAAAATCTGGACAAAGCTGGCACGTTGAACCAGAAGCAACAGCTGCAAAACAATTTAACAATTTGGTAAAAAGGTCACGCAAATAGTGAAGTAGATCCTAGAGATACATCTACCCAAACGATTAGTCTTGATTAAGGTCGAGTTACTGAGACGAGGTGTATCAAATCAAGTAACATATGGTTATTCGGGATGAGCCTCATGGTGTTGAGGTCCATGAAGTAAGTACTGATGCAGAAGAGGCATCAAAAATCAGCCACAAGGATGAGGTGGATGAAAGTAAAACAATGTGGTATGTTGACACTGCGTCAAATTCACACGTTACTGGGAAAAGAGCGCACTTGTTACATTCTCAGAGGTAGACACACAGGCTCAAAGCATACGTGGCGTGGCTTCGAATATTGTATTGCGCATTGCCGGTATGGGGACCGTAGGATTGGTAAAAAAAATTGACAGGGAAACATCGGCATTTTTTTGGACAATGTTACGTATATCTCAGGAGCAGAATACGGGTTATTATCTACAGGCCCCGCTGTTTGCCAGGGTTTCTCATTTAAATTTAGTTAAACATCGCAAGTCCTTTCCGTATCATGATAAAACCGGGTGGTGGCTGCGGCTAAACCACAAGATGCTACATGGAGATTTAAGCAGCTTTTTTCTTCTCAAAGACATCGTCAATTTCCACAATGTAAAGCACTTTGCAACAACACGATAGCCGACGGAGTAGGAGCATTAAAACTTTGGCATGAGAGACTTTGCCATAAGTGTCCACAGTATTTAAAAATCATGGTGGACAAATGATTAGTACGAGGCATGATGCTCACAAAACGAGAGCACCGGACGTTCGACGCATGCCATTTAGGTAAGCAAAAGCGACAAACGCATTCGAAGAATCTTGATCGAGCGACAAATGAGCCAAATATAATGGAATATGCGGATATGTTTATACCGGGACAGTCGAATGCAACCAAAATTTTGTGGCAGTGCTGATTGTTATGGACGGATACTTGAGGCTAATTACTATAATGTTACTAACAAGCACGAACGGCAAGGAGATCAATCATCATTATATGCAAGAGTACATCCTATGGGCAGAACGACAAGCCGGTCGTCACATCAGCAATTGTTCATACAAGGTGAAGCAAGTACTCAGCGACAAACGTGGCGAGTTTTGCAACGATGCGATGGAGGCTCGGTATCGCTCGAAAGGAATTGTGCACGTTAAAGTTGAACCCAAAAGTTCACAGCTGAACCTGTGTAAGAGGGCTCATCAGTCGATCGAAGGCATGACAAAATTAACAAAAAACCATGCAGGTTTCTCCCCGGGGTCTATTGACTGAGGCTATGCAAAATGCAGTGTACGTTAAAAACCGAGTTTTCACAAAAAGCACGCAGGAATTTTCGTACGAGATGATGTTTAAAGCAAAACCTGATATACACCATATCCGGAAGTTCGAAGCACTTGCATACGCGCATGAATCAGTATCACTAGGACGCAAGAGAAATTATGTGAATGTCAAGATTGGGTTAGTTCACGGTTAAGAAGAAGATGTGGTAGGCTTCAAGGTATATTTTCCCGATGAACACACCGTGAAATTTGTCTCGGATCTACATGTTACCGAGAATATAGTTTACCCGCGATCGACATGATGTGGAAGTACAAGAAAATGATTTTCCTTCGCTACACTTTGACCAAGATGATGATGAGCAACGCACGTTATCTGACGATGATATGATAATTGTTTTATAGCAACTATAAAGCGACTTGTGATATCGAGGATGCCGCTCAGGCTACTAAAGATATGAATTACAAATATACCCAAATCGAGATCGACGGGCGTTATGATTCTGATAACAATGATGGACCCAGAACGAACGACGGCTTCGGAGACGACAACCAGTCTATCATTGGTACATGCGGGTCTATCGTAGCTGAGTATGACGCGACAAATCAGGCCTGGATGAAACTTTAGACCCAAGTGTTGATGACAATCCTGTAGCTTGCAAAGAAGGCGACAAATATCCAGGAAGCGTTAAATTTTTATTGTCCAACGTATCAGGTCCTGATTCAGCTTCTGATGATAAAGCGACACATGACCGATACTCTGATAAGATAACAGGAAATGTATTTGTCGATCTGAGACGCCGTCTGAATCAAACCGTGTCGAGTATGACGCATAACCAGAAGATGCCAAGAGAACACGAACTGAACTTCTCACACTGCGTGAGCGCGGGTAGCCAGGATATCTTAATGACTACGTGATGAACATGGCCGTGACGTCGTCACAAGTTTTGAATTCAATCGGAAAGCCTATCCGTGCGATCGATATTACTCTACCTAGAAGTCTCCATGAAATAATGAACTCGTGATGGAAATAATATTTCCTCGCAGCAGAGTTAGAGGAAATGAATGCGCTGAAAGCCAAGGGTAGGATTGCAGAAATTGAGGGTACAAAGGTTCCGAATACGGCGACATTAATAAATATCATGTGGGTATATGCTGTGAAGACCAATCAACAAGACTACGTGAATAGTTTCAAAGCACAGATAGTGGCCCTAGCATCCCACCAGCGACCGGAAATCGATTTTCACGAAACATTTGGTCCCGAGGAAAGGATGTCTTCGTTTCGGCTACTGATTGTCCTAGCAGCCAAGCATGGTCTTTCTATCGATGGCGGGGGCATACACACGGCTTATTTGGAAGCTTCACTCAATATAACGAAATGCCTACGATCGATAAGTGGATATACGTGCAAGAAAATTGGAAATGCGTACATCGTTTATTAGGCATTATATAATCTTCGTTAATCAGGACACGAGTGGAACTCGGAGCTTAACCAGTACTTCCTAGTCCATGGATATGAGCCGTCGCAAACGAAACCATGTCTCTATTATTGTTTTCAGGGACACACGATATTATAATTCCTTGTACACGTTGATGACATAATTATCGCGACGAACAATGCGGACTACAAGATGATCCTACTGAATGACTTAAATGTCGATAATGGAATTAAAGATCAAAACTACTGACCCAGTACCTTCGTGTTAAGTGAAACAGACAGAGACACAGATCACGATATGTCAATAACAGTAAGCAAAGGAAAATCTACGGAAGTTTGGGTAGGATAAGGCACATGCTGTGGGCAACCCTATGGAAGTTAATATGCGACTGGCGAGTGATGATACGAGCAACATGCAGACGAGAGACACTGATTTCCCTTTTATGAATCTATCGGGATGCTAATGTATCTGGCGACTAGTATTAGGCCTGATTTAGCGTTTTTACTGGTCCAGCTGAGTCGATTTGTCGCCAAAACACACACCAAGAATATCGGAACGTTGAGGAGAGCTTTACGGTATGTGGCAGGTACATTGCGCAATGACATTACGTACGCCAGACAGAGTTACTACATGATGAACAACAACACGATGCACGTTGTAATTGAAAAATATTGTGATATCAACTGGGCTAATGATCCTGATCGACGCAAACACTACAGTATATAATTTCACCTTAGCTTAAGGTGCTGTCGCATGGATGTCCAGACGACAATTGATTTATCGCGTTATCGACAGCAGAGGATGAGTACGTAGCTGCCTGTGAAGAAAGCATGGAAGCGATGGCTGAGTACAACGTTATACAAGACATACTACCACCACAGTGCCAGATAAATTACGCATCGGTATCGACAACCAAGCGGATGTTATGGCGACATTTCTGACGTACAGTCGCCGGACACGTCATATTGAAATGTGGTGGCACTACGTGGGAAAACAATTTCAAATAGTTTTTATTGATCTACACAAGGTCAAAGGTGAGAACAATCCAGATGACATGTTAATAAAGCCTCTCGACAAGATGTATCTTCGCAAACTAATGCACTTGACTGGTTTGGGTGACCAATTGCTATCGAAGAGTGCTCTTTGAGGAGGGCGTGTTGGAAATGGAAGTGTTACAAAGAGGAGCATGGACATATCAGGTCTTTGTATGGGAAAAGGACAGGTAGTTATGTGGGAACGGAGAACACCGTTTGGGCTGGTATGGAAGTTATATGGGAACAGGGAACACCGTTGGGATAGGAAAGAATACCAGTCAGTAGCACCTCAATATATTTAGTCTTCATTTTACCTTCTAGTAAGCAAGTGTGGGTGTGAACCAGCACATAAGCTAATTGGCAGAGCAAAAGAAGGAGAAGAAAATGCGCTGAGGTGGCCTTCTGCTGGGGAAGATCGAGGCAGCCGAGATCAATGCTGTATTTAAGCAGCTTCCGCCGCAGCCGAAAGAACCTACGAATTCTGTCACGCGCTGTGGATAGTCGCTATTGTGCTCATTGGCATCGCATTGGCTTTCGGTCAACTCGGTTTTTTTGGAGTAGCGGAGGTGCTAAAGATGTCGCAGCGGTGCAACGGTCATTCGACTTCATTTAAAAAGCGGAAATTTCTGTGAAACACGCTGTATTGTTTTGCGTACCACAAGAAATTGATTTGACGGATACATGCTAAGTCCATGCATAATAAAATGCATCTTCATGTACCTTTTCCGGCGCCACGCGAATCCGGCTGTTGCATGCAAAACGCCACCTCTTGTGCCTTAATAGTATCATCTTGGGAGCGACAGCATTGCGTTGCGTGGTGCCCGTCGTCACAGGTCGCACATCATAGTGGTGCATTGAAAAAGATTTCTCGCTTGTCTTAACTAACGGGGAGCGACAGAAGAACACTAAATCTCGGCGTAGCAATCGGAAAAGAGTCCCGAAAGCGTATCATGCTTCATCAGCACAGTTTTTGGGCTTCTTGTCCCGTGGCCAACCGTCGAGGCGCTGTGTCTTACTCTTCCGTCTACGCCTTAAGCCTTAACGTCAACGACTCGTGCAAGTCGTACCACAATTTGCACCCAAAACACGAACGTTATATTTGAATTTATCCCGACTTGCGTGCTTCCTGCCACGCGCGAACTGTGTTCCACGCTTGCAGAAGTATCTCCACGTTAGCGGCGTGTATCATGTAGAAATTTTCGGCAAAGTCCGCGACGATTTATACGCTCTCGACTCGTGAAAATCGTTAAGGTCCCGGCTACAAACGACTCGTGGCTGTGAGCACGTAGAAACTCAGATGTCGTCACTGCCGATAGCCAGATCTTGGCATCGTACTATTGGATTGTATCTATTCTTCGAGACAGTACAGATCCCAGCTGGCATTGCCCGTTTGGGATCCGCCCTGGCCAAGATGGATTGATAAATCCCGCGCATGATTGCATCAACCGTTTTAAGTAGGGATATATCGAGCAGTGGTAAGTGACTACGTGTTTTACTTATTCTGTACCATTCAATGTGAAGTTCTTTTATCATTTTAGGAGGGGGTGTGTGCCCGTAGACAAAAATGGGGTGTGCCCCGAGCAAAAGTGGGGTGTGCCCCTAGTCGTGACCTTTTCAAAGTCGCGATTTCATTCAACAATCACAACTAATATTAGTCATTGTTACGAAGAGAAGAAATATACCCTTAGTGCGTCGGGGGTCCAAAAACAACACTTCCACCTCCCACCGTGCCTCTACTGAAAAGGGATCAATAAGTACGACTGGCGTCATGCCATGCGTAACATTTTAATATTGAATGCGGATTCTTGCCATATCGCAATCAATAAGTGGTCCGAAATATTTATTCATCAGTATGCGAAAACGCACCATCTTTCATATCACATTAAGTCACTCAGTACCGGTGCGCCAATGGATAGCGTGAGTAATGTACATCAGTCAGTCGTAAACGTTAATAATCTGATGCACCACAGTGCTCATTCACCATTTACGTCACGTTGCCGCCCATGCAAAAGCGTCCTGCATATGTTGTTGACCCGATAAGGGTAACATCGCCAAGGCGCCGATGCTACCAGCAAGATTACGCGAGTCAGAATATACTGGCAATAAAAAATGACGTACGAACCTTGGAGTCAAAGTGCACAGTGTCCAAGCCCACTTTAGCTGCATCCTGTGCCCACCACGCTCTCTTGAGAATTGCCTCTCATGTCGAGAATCATGATGCAGGCACACTTCAAACTATCTCAAGCACAGCACACCGAATACAAGGTCTGGTTCTGGTTATGATGCCTCTCACCGCAATTTGTATGAGAACGATGCAACCTTCTCTCACCCCTCACAGTAGGTGCTAGTAATTCAAAGTGCAGACGGTCTACTCTTTTTCCTCTTAATTTTATATGTCAAAGCTTTTCTACTCTATTTCAAGCGGATCTAGACGTAGCATTTACACCAATTGATTTAATTTTTTCGACTTTTTGCTCATTTCTACATTGAATCTTGTCATTGTCCAATGCACCTGAACACCTTTCTCCATTACACATTGTCAATTTATATGCTACAAGTACGTTGTGCTCTCTCAAATCAATCGAAGCTTCTGACAACTTCTTCAACGCTTAAACCTCAGTCGTAGTTAACGTGGTGGTCGTAATACTAGTCGCGGTTTTTGGACTCTGCGCCGTGATGCTCGGCGATTTAGACTTGACATTGTAGTGGTCAACAACAGTGATGAGATCTAGTCATTGCCGAGTCCACGAATCGAGAAGGCGGGATGTTGTATAAATATCCGGCTGTGGGGCTGGGCTCGTCTGCAACGTCTGCATGTACGACTTACATGTCTATGTCAATTTGCGATCAATTATAGCTGCAAAACAAGACGATTTTATAGAGGCACGGTGGGAGCTGGGAGCTATTTAGTATGTTAACATTGGGCACAAAAGGGCCAACAGTATATATTTAACTCACTTGCTGCCGTCTCGCCTCTTCCCCCGTCCCAGCTGTCAACTCGTCATGACGACGTTCCACATGTTATGACTGTTGTTAGAAATGCGCCTCGGCCTGAGTGTTCGCCCAAGAGCTTGTAGCTCTAATGGTATGGTGCGGCAGCACCATGCGAGAGGTCACTGGTTCAGTATCTTGTGATTACAATAAGAGGCCAAAACCTTCGGGTCCTGGTGTGCCGGGGCGACCCGCCCTGTCCTGCCAGACAGTGACGTCCTCCATGTTCAGTACGTTTAGGCGTTTGTCAGAAACACACTATTCGAATTAGCAACGTACAACTAGACGAGCAGTAATGCGCGACGGGACGATTACGAACGTAGAGTCAGAGAGAATCCAGTAGGCTTAGAGTAGCAACAGGAGGTGGTGAACTAAGGACCTAAATATATATTTACTATGTATTTCGCAAAACTTCAATCGCTTCCTTCCATGACGTCGCCTGTCTCTGCCTGTTCTATCTCTCCATCGTCGCTTCGTCGCACCAAGTGTTCGGTCGTCCCATATGTGCCAAGCAGGCGACACGGTATCGTGGCATCGCACTTGGCCCCACCCATGACAACATCCCCAAACATGATCATTTCCAACAAGAGCGTCGTCTCTGTCGCAAGAGCCGCACAGCTCTGTGGCAATCGCTCACAACTCAATTTGCAGTCCAGTGCGCAGCACCCGTTCTCGTCCATCTCAGCCGTCATCCCATGAAGCTCCTGAACCTCATTGCACTCTCCGTGAGCGCGTCGCTTTTCGTCGCGGCTGATGTTGCTTGGGCCTCCGACGCGTCAACCAAGAAATTGGATTTGGACTCCACCGAGGAAACGAAAGGTCATCTTCGTGGTTCGTTGCGTGGACCTGTGGAAGAGCGCGTGGCTTCCCTGGAGCCACTCGCTGCCGGTATTGTGCGCCTTTCGGGGGGAGTACCGGCGAAGATCGGGACCGCCGGCATGAGCGCCGAAGCATTGGCAAAGAATGTCGGTCTTGTAAATGAGTATGCGGCGAATCGAGTCAATTTCCTCAAGAGTGTCGAGATAGGCGATGGCGGAAAAACGTTTCAAGCACTGGATGAGGTATGGGGTGGATTCATTGGAGGTGCGGATTCGACGAAGATGTCTCTAGCGAAGGACGCACCGATTCGGCCTATGGCTTCCATTCGAGCGCGCCAAGGAAAGGGTGAAACCCTGAGAGATATCGTATCAAATCTCGTCAAGGTAAAAACGGCAAATGAATTCAAACCTCTACCCGCAGCGGTTGAGAAAAGGCTAGCGATTCAATCACGTACATTATACGTTAAGTACATGCGAGTTAAGGCACTGGCGATGATGAGGATACTGCGACCTCACCTGCGTGGCACTAGCAAGAATCAAGCGGCTCAAGCTGCTCTCAAGAAGTTGGTGCGAAATAGGCGAAAGCAAACGACGCCTAAGTCTTCGTTCCACACACGCACGCTCTGAGCCAGAGCATCAAGCGGGAGCAGCAGCAGCACGATGCAGAGCAAGTATCTAGTCATTTCTGGAGACGCTCTCGCGAGTACATCTCATGGACCACTAGCCTCTACATTCCCTGAAGCGCTCGTTTTAGGAATACAGCTCGCGTTCGTTGTCTGCAGTCTGTTCGTGTCTTTCTCACTGATGAGTCGGCGGTGGTGTATGAACGATGTCGTGTCGCTCGGCGCAGACTCTGATAGGAAGAGAGTGAGTGGTAGCTGCTGTCAACACGAGACCCTTCATACTCACGGCAACGACGACAAGCGACAGTGCTGCGTTGTCGACATGGGTCGTGCTGCTACCGCTAGGGCTCTCGTTGGACAACAGGACGTGCGTGTGGGCGACTTGCGACTTGCATGCAGTTCGTCCACAAGCTGCCGCTATGGACTGTCAGACTGCAAGTTGTCCTAAGCTGACACTCGATCGTGTCACGAACGATCACGTGCGGTTAAGGCACAAGAGGCCTATGGATGCAACAGCGTCGAGGAGCGACCGCAGGCCACCGATGTCGAGTGTCTGACCATGTGGCAGGAGGTCCGCGAAAGAGCTCGTGGCCGCTTCGGCCCTGTTGTCAACCGCCAGGTCTGTCGTTGTGTCGGAGCCCCACATCCTCTTTGCACCAGCAGTGTCGTAGCTCTCACTCGCAGTGTCGACGCGACGGTGCGACACTCTGTCGCATGCAAAAGACCGCAAGTACGGCGTGGAACCTCATCGACCACGACAACTTGACGTTCTGGTGCACGACGCTACACCACACCTCGTCCCGCGTTCGTCGAGCCCCTTCCTCCGTCACGATCGGTGTCCGGTTCAAGTGCATGTCAATCACCGCGCGCACTGCCTCCTGCGGTCCCTTTGCCTTCGCACGTTGTCGCGTCGGCTCATCGAGCGTCGGCACACATGTACGCTCTCCTCCTCCACAGTTGTCGTCCGCCTCACTTCCTCGTTGCAGTAGCGCCCACTCTACTCTCGAAGATGGGACCTCGTGCAGCCTGTCGTCTCACTGCGGTCGTTGTCCAGCGCTCGGCCTTCTCAGTCGTTCGCCTTTGTTTGCTTCCCTTCTTTCTGCCCATCAGCACCAGCGTCGGCCAACCCATCGCACGCAGTCGTCTGTGCACACGCGTTGCCAATCGTTCCATGAGCTAAAACAAGTGCCTCCAGACTCAGACCGACCGCTACGTTCGGTCAGTCAGTCACCTGCGCTCGGTCGTCCCGTTCGCGCGCTGTTTGACGTGGCGCGACCGACGCCAGACACGACGCCGCCACGTCATTGCCGAGGCAGACCTTCGCGATCGCCGACAACGTAAGCTGCTGGCACTCGCGTGAGGCCGTGCTTCTCCTCGCAACGCCCGTGAGACGCACAAGCGGAAGCAACGCGCGCGCCTGTGGTTCTGGGCACACGTCGCCCGCTTCTCTGTCTGCGTAGATGCGCGCAAGCGGTCCGTCATGACAAATCGCCTTTCCCTCTTCTCTAGCGCGTGTCATTCCCCGTTTCTTGCGGGTGCAACGGGTGCAAGTCGACCGCAAATCATCGACTCGATCGACCCCATACTCGACGCACGTGGCCATAATTCACTGAGATAATCGACTGCTCAACACGGCCGTCCGGCACTGAAGTTGGCTATAGTCGACTCGACGTGACCATTGTCGATTTGACGTGACCATAGTCTATTTGACGTGACCATAGTCTATTTGACGTGACCATAGTCTATTTGACGTGACCATAGTCTATTCGACTGGAAAAAGTCGACTTGGTGAACTATACTCGTCTCCCCCTTCTTGACCGCGGGACGACGAGTTTCACGGACAGTGGTACCCGTTCGTGTGCCTCTTCTGCGCTCTGTGGCGGCACCGCTGTGGTCCGTCGCTTCGTTGGGTACATCCCCTCCACCAATCAGCGCTCTCCGTTCCGCCGACTCGGTCATGGCAGGCCATCGGACACCCCATCGTCCCGCTGGGACCCCGCGATGCGACGCGCTGTGGCCGCCCCTGTCGTCCGCGCGGCACCACAGTCCGCTCATCATCTGCTCCAGCTCGTCGTCTGCCGCCCGACGGTCTCCACGCGCAGCTGAACGCGCCCGCGGTCTCGTCTGAATACGGAAGAAAAGGCGCCTGTCGTCTTGACAGTGTGGAACGATTCGGCTGTATGGGCCACTGCGTCTGCGTCGAGACACTCGGGCAATGGCAAATGGCCGGTAGCTGATCGACGAAACAAGTGACACGAGAGGCACTGGACGCACTGGTGCTCGCGCCTCATGTAAAGGGGACCGGTATGGCCACTGATGGGTTCTCGCTGGGTCTGTTGCGTCTTGGAGCGATTGGCGTCTGCTCTGTCGCTCGTGAGCTGTTGTCCAAATAGGTGCGTCATTGACTCCGCTAGAATCTGTGGAGACGAGACTGACTTTGTATGCTGTCGTGCTGTGCAGCTGCATGAGCCTCAACGGTCTTTCTAGCGAGTCAGTGGATATCGTCTCGAACAACACGGGCGTATGCTGATGCAGGGAGAAGAAGAGGAAGAAAAAGAAGCTAGAGGTGGCTGGAGATGCTGGAGATTGATTGTGATCGGACAGTGGTGAGATGGTTTCTTGGCTGTAGGTGATTTCACAACTGGGTCAGCCGATCCACGGCTGCTGTCACGACCGCGATGGCCATCGCGAAGGTCGTCGTAGTCGCGTTGAGCACGTGCATTCAACGACCAAAAGGACAACACTCCACGTCTTTTCGCATCGAGTGCAACATTGGGGGACCGTCGGTTCGTGCTTATGTGTTTGCTGAAGCGAATTAGAACGTGAAGAAGGACGAGTGTGCGTATTTCATTGTACAGGTGACGAAGACTGGTGAGCTGCGTAAGATATTGGACAATCGGCACCTCGTTGCGGCAGAAACGAAGGAGCAGTAAGAAGCTCTGCGTTAGATGCTGGACAACTAGACACGTTTGCCATCGCTGTGATGCTAGACGGATGCCTCGGAGCCATGGGACCTCGGGTCGCTTGGGTTTGCTAGCGTGGAACCAAAACTAACGATAATCGCATGTTTTGTTGTCAGAGATCGTTGCCTGACTTTCGTAGCCATCTTCTGCTCACACTTCTCTCACGACACATACCCCTTTTGTGTTCGAAAGCCACTGACTGGTTACCACTAGTGCAAGCGCAAGTGCTGCGCATGTGACTCCGCGTCATTGCGTGCCTTTGCCTCGAGGTCGACACGGTGCTTGAGAGTAGGTTGATCGTACCTTCGCATCCGAATGCTCCGTAGTAACACATGACCGTCTCACGTAGCAATTGATCCTCAGCAAGACGCCACTGGACTCCCGACTGTAGTTTGTGACGAAACACTCACATCTGCCAGAAGCCATTCCACGTAGACGTTGTCGGCGTCTCAGCCTCAGCCTGCAGCTCTTCGTGGGCCCCTCTCTTGTGTGCCATGTTCCCACCACCTCCTCTTCACTCACCCATCGCTCGGCCTCTAGGTCTCTCTCGGCTACGGCTGTCTTTCACATACACATGAACCCCTCGATACGCGACTCCAAGCTGCTAACGGGACCATCTGCTGACTCACGAGAGCACGTTCAGCCATTGTCTCGTGATGTCCATGTGCTCGAACTGAATGACACGTCGACGCCAATCTCTCCGAAAACTCCCCTTCGTCACATCTCGCGTCTTCTGTCTCCCTGTCTGCAACGAGAAACCCACCTGGCGCCTTCAATAGCTCTCCCTCTCTCTCTTGGCCCCGTGTTCTCGGATCAGCACACACACACACACACACACACACACACACAATAGCAACAAGCAGTGCTCGATGCGTGCACTGCTTCCACGCGCAACCTGCGGTCTCCTCAGTGAATCAGCAGGTGCTCGATAGTCGACAAAGCGGCCGCAAGAAGAGCTTCGACTCCGTAGTCCTCCGCCAAACTGTCCCTATACGCAGCAAGTGAAGCGCCACGACGTCGCTCCCGTCCATCTTCCCGTCTCTCTTCGTCAGCCACGCGCGAGTGTCTCTGTCGTTCACAGCAGCAGCAGCAGCCGCAGTCGCAGTATCTCACCCGTCTGCTCTCCGTCTCTCCTGCCGTCTGCTCCTCTTACGGCCGAGTCCTTCTCCAGCGCGTTCGACCGACGGCCTTCAGACCGATCTCCGCCGTCGCCGGATCCTCTTCCTCCAGAACGCCGTCCAAACAGTTGGCGCCACAGCGCGTCGTCTCGTTGCAATCGACAGCCACAGCGCTGTCAGCGACTGCGCTGCGTACTGTTCGTGCGCGTCTGCTCCAGCGCTTTGCTCTGCCGACCGCTTCTGTCGCTGCGTCCGCTGCCGCCGCTTCTGCTACTGCTGTGGGTCCCTCGCGCGTGTCCCGTGGAGACAGTGTGTGGAGTGACGAACGAAAGCACGTGGGCGAAGCAAACAAACGCGAAAAAAGTGTTTTGTTGAAGTCACGGACGTCGGCGCCCGTGTGCACTGATCGGACTGGGCCACTACTCCTGAATCTGCCACTGAATAGGCTCCTGATTCTGCCACTGAATAGGCTCCTGATTCTGCCACTGATTAGGCTCCTGATTCTGCCACTGAGTAGGCTCCTGATTCTGCCACTGAATAGGCTCCTGAATCTGCCACTGAATAGGCTCCTGATTCTGCCACTGAATAGGCTCCTGATTCTGCCACTGAATCTGTACTGCTTCTGCCGCTTTTTACATCGAGACAGGAGCAGCTCTCACGCTCTCACGCCCTCGACAACAGACGACGCAGAGTCTCGTTCTATTGGGCCGTCTCTTTGCCTACTACTACTTCTACAACGACTACTACTACTACTACAGCGACTACTACTACTACTACTACTACTACAGCGACTACTACTACTACTACTACTACTACTACTACTACAGCGACTACTACTACTACTACTACTACTACTACTATTTTGGGGACGTTTGGCTGGTCCGGCAATCCGTGGATCCGGGATGCGAAGGGTGCGGAGTTATTGCATTTGAAGTTTCACCAAATTGACGCGTGCTCCATCGCGGATCTGCACATTTGGCGGACGGGCCCGACCACGTATGTTCTCACCATCCCGCCCTCGCGGCCAGAGGGAGTCACGTAATCCCAGCCTAAACTTCGCCGGTGGGCGACAGCAATTTTATTGGCGTCTCCGTTGTTAACGATTGGATCGGAATCGGGCGTGGCGTCAGCCTTATCTCTTCGGCATCCCCCACCATTTCGTTTTGAATATGACTGGGTCCCTGTGTGTCGGGGTCGCGTCGTGGGAGCTCGCAGGAATTTACCAGTGGAGGGAGTGGGTAGGGTGCGATTACGCCAGGGCTCTGACGGGCTGCATTGGTTTTTTCAAGAGGGCCTACCCGAGCTCCACACGGCGTCGGACGGTGACAGTCTGAGTTGGGCTGCGCACATCAGGCAGCACGGAGTGGTCTTTTACGCCCACCCGAGTCACCACCGCTTCGCGTGGGGAGTACCCCAACCGGTTCTCGATGGATCTCTACGTCGGGCTATTTTGCACCGGGCTTTTTCGCTGCACAAAGGCCGACTAACCCGTCCTTTACTACCCGTATTGGAGCGGCCAGATGCTGTCGTTCGCGAGGATTTGTGGCAACGGGCGGCGGCGCATCAGCTACCATACCAAATGTGGAAGCATGACAACGGACTCTCCGACTTTCAAGTTTAAACAACGTATCGCGTCGCCACCAAGCAGCTTAATTTTTTCCACGCCGGGCGTGCTACCGGTACTAGCTGCCGGGCCCTGCCTGCGTGTCACGGGATGGCCGAAACGTCGAGGCACGTTTTTTGGGATCGCCAGAAGGCGCGAGCGTGCTGGGGAAAATTCCCCAGCCATTGGACGGGCGCTTCTGTGTCGAGTGCAGTTGTAGATAGTTGTCTCGGCAACTGTGCGAATCGTCAGGCTCCGGCGATCCCAATGCTTCAGCGGTCTCGGTTGCTCGAGCGGTTCCAAGATGATGCCACAGCGGGCGAATTGGTGTGGCGACGGATTTGGTTTTTGATGTGTTCCATTTGCATTACGCACTTATGGAGCGAGCGCAACGCTGCAGTGTTTAGGGGCGTGCAGTCTACGACGGCTCAAAGTGTCGTCCGTTTCTGGACGACGGGCGTCCGTCAATTAACGGCCTTTGCAATGCGTGAACATAGAGGAGCGGCGACAGTGCTTCAAGGGGCTAGAGTACCTGTTTCCCTTGAACTCTTTACTCTGGAGGCTAGCGGGGTTTCGCTACCACTAGGGGGGTGCGTGCCATGAACCACCGCCGCGACCGGCGCTGTATTCTCGGCTAAGAAGAGTTCAGACTTCTAGCGCATAATCATCATGTGCAATAGATAGTCATGAATCTCCCTCTCTCTCACCACTGAAAGCGCTTTCTAGGGCCCGGAAACTGCTACATCGATCAGGAGCAACAGCCTCCCTGTATCACGCGGCCGTGTGTGAAGGGACTATACGGTGCGCACCTGGAGCTGACACAGAAGCTCAGCGATACAAATGGCAAGTACAGCAGAACTCAGCTCGCCTGCCACTCGTTGATGAACTATTTGAGCAGCTTCTGCCTCGTGTTTTCCGCTCCGCGTTCCCGTCCGTCCAATCGACGCGCAGCTTACTCGCTCAAGAAGCACAGAGTTACCGCGTCACGACCCGTACCATACTGACTTCCATAGACAATAAATCATTTGTGCAACAAGTTGCAGCGCAGCGCTGTCAACTTATGACCACAATTCCTTTTGCAGTCCAGCGCACAGTACCCGTTCTCGTCCATCTCCACCGCTATCCATGAAGCTCCTGAACCTCATTGCACTCTCCGTGAGCGCGTCGGTTTTCGTCGCGGCGGATATCGCTTGGGCCTCCAACGCGTCACCCGAGAAACTGAACTTCGAGTCCACCGAGGACCCGAAAAGTCATGGTCGTGGTCGGTTGCGTGGACCAGCAGAAGAGCGCATGGCTTCCCTGGAGCCACTCGCTGAGGGGACTACGCGCGTCGTGGGGGAAGTATTGCCAAAGATCGAGAGCATTGGCATGAGCGCCAACACAGTGGCGGAGAAGGTGGGCGGCCTCGCCGCTGGACGTGCAGCCGCAAAAAAGCGACTTAAGCGTATGTATGCGAGTAATTGGCGACCGGGTTTTCTCAGATGGTTCAAAGCGACTCAAAAGCGTGGATCCAGCCGCAACCAAAGGCTTAGTCAAGATCTACGTGCTGTTGTTCGACGTGAAATCCAACAGCGTCTACTGGCGAATGCAGTGACCGATCTGGACCTCGCACGAGTCGAAGAGGAGATAACTCAAAAGTTTATGGCGGAGTTACGGGAGGCAGAGATGGAATCGAAAGCGTCAGCTGCTCGTAGACGCAACCGCCGAGTGACTCGAGAGGAAGGCACTACGACGTCTGTGGCGGCAAACGACGCCTAAGTCTTTTTCCGAACACGCACGCTCTGAGCCAGAGCATCAAGCGGGAGCAGCAGCAGCAGCAGCACGATGCAGATCAAGTATCTGGCCATTTCTGAAGACGCTCTCGCGATTACATCTCATGGACCACTAGCCTCTACATTCCCTGAAGCGCTCGTTTTAGGAATACAGCTCGCGTTCGTTGTCTGCAATCTGTTCGTGTCTTTCTCACTGATGAGTCGGCGGTGGTGTATTGAATGATGTTGTGTCGCTCGGCGCAGACTCTGATAGGAAGAGAGTGAGTGGCAGCTGCTGTCAACACGAAGCCCTTCATACTCACGGCAACGACGACAAGAGACAGTGCTGCGTTGTCGACATGGGTCGTGCTGCTACCGCTAGGGCTCTCGCTGGACAACAGGACGTGCGTGTGGGCGACTTGCGACTTGCATGCAGTTCGTCCACAAGCTGCCGCTATGAACTGTCAGACTGCAAGTTGTCCTAAGCTGACACTCGATCGTGTCACGAACGATCACGTGCTGTTAAGGCACAAGAGGCTTATGGATGCAGCAGAGTCGAGGAGCGACCGCAGGCCACTGATGTGCGAGTGTCTGACCATGTGGCAGGAGGTCCGCGAAAGAGCTCGTGACCACTTCGGCCCTGTTGTCAACCGCCAGGTCTGTCGTTGTGTCGGAGCCCCACATCCTCTTTGCACCAGCATTGTCGTAGCTCTCACTCGCAGTGTCGACACGACGGTGCGACACTCTGTCGCATGCAAAAGACCGCAAGTACGGCGTGGAACCTCATCGACCACGACAACTTGACGTTCTGGTGCACGACGCTACGCTGCACCTCGTCCCGCGTTCGTCGAGCCACTTCCTCCGTCACGATCGGTGTCCGGTTCAAGTGCATGTCAATCACCGCGCGCACTGCCTCCTGCGGTCCCTTTGCCTTCGCACGTTGTCGCGTCGGCTCATCGAGCGTCGGCACACATGTACGCTCTCCTCTTCCACAGTTGTCGTCCGCCTCACTTCCTCGTTGCAGTAGCGCCCACTCTACTCTCGAAGATGGGACCTCGTGCAGCCTGTCGTCTCACTGCGGTCGTTGTCCAGCGCTTGATCTTCTCAGTCGTTCGCCTTTGTTTGCTTCCCTTCTTTCTGCCCATCAGCACCAGCGTCGGCCAACCCATCGCACGCAGTCGTCTGTGCACATGCGTTGCCGCTCGCAACGCCCGTGAGACGCACAAGCGGAAGCAACGCGCGCGCCTGTGATTCTGGGCACACGCCGCCCGCTTCTCTGTCTGCGTAGATGCGCGCAAGTGGTCCGTCCTGACAAATCGCCTTTCCCTCTTCTCTAGTACATGTCATGCCCCGTTTCTTGCGCGTGGAACGGGTGCAAGTCGACCGCAAATCACCGACGCGATCGACCCCATACTCGACGCACGTGGCCGTAGTTTACTGTGGTATTGGACTGCTCAACACGGCCGTCCGGCACTGAAGTTGGCTATAGTCGATTTGACGTGACCATTGTCGATCTGACGTGACCAAAGTCGATTTGACGTGACCATTGTCGATTTGACGTGACCATTGTCGATTGGACTGGAAAAAGTCGACTTGGTGAACTATACTCTTCTCCCCCTTTTTGACCGCGGGACGACGAGTTTCAGGGACAGTGGTACCCGTTCGTGTGTCTCTTCTGCGCTCTGTGGCGGCACCGCTGTTGTCCGTCGCTTCGTTGGGTACATCCCCTCCACCAATCAGCGCTCTCCGTTCCGCCGACTCGGTCATGGCAGGCCATCGGACACCCCATCGTCCCGCTGAGACCCCGCGATGCGACGCGCTGTGGCCGCCCCAGTCGTCCGCGCGGCACCACAGTCCGCCCATCTGCTCCAGGTCGTCGTCTGCCGCCCGACGGTCTCCACGCGCAGCTGAACGCGCCCGCGGTCTCGTCTGAATACGGAAGAAAAGGCGCCTGCCGTCCTGACAGTGTGGAACGATTCGGCTGTATGGGCCACTGCGACTGCGTCGAGACACTCGGGCGATGGCAAATGGCCAGTAGCTGATTGACGAAACAAGAGACACGAGAGGCACTGGACGCACTGGTGCTCGCGCCTCATGTAAAGGGGACCGGTATGGCCACTGGTGGGTTCTCGCTGGGTCTGTTGCGTCTCGAAGCGATTGGCGTCTGCTCTGTCGCTCGTGAGCTGTTGTCCAACTAGGTGCGTCATTGACTCCGCTAGAATCTGTGGAGACGAGACTGAATTTGTATGCTGTCGTGCTGTGCAGCTGCATGAGCCTCAACGGTCTTTCTAGCGAGTCAGCGGATATCGTCTCGAACAACACGGACTATGCTGATGCAGAGCGAAGAAGAGGAAGAAGAAGAAGCTAGAGGTGACTGGAGATGCTGGAGATTGATTGTGATCGGACAGTGGTGAGATGGTTTCTTGGCTGTAGGTGCTTTCACAACTGGGTCAGCCGATCCACGGCTGCTGTCACGACCGCGATGGCCATCGCGAAGGTCGTCGTAGTCGCATTGAGCACGTGCATCCAACGACCAAAAGGACGGCACTCCACGTCTTTTCGCATCAAATGCAACAATGGGGTACCTTCGGTTTATGCTTGTGTTTGCTGAAGCGAATTAGAACATGAAGAAGGACGAGTGTGCGTATTTCATTGTACAGGTGACGAAGACTGACGAGCTGCGTAAGATATTGGACAATCAACACCTCGTTGCGGCAGAAACGAAGGAGCAGTAAGATGTTCTGCGTTAAATGCTGGACAACTAGACACATTTGCCATCGCTGTGATGCTAGAGGGATGCCTCGGATGTAACGGGGCACTGTTGACTACGTACTGGTTGACCAGTACGGAGTGTACTTTCACTGACGACAGTGGTCGACAGTGCCCTGCTAGGTGTTAAAGGAACACAGAGGAAGGAAAGGAGACTAAGTAGTCGGACTAGTCTCTGGTAAAAGTAAAACTATATTAATATAATTAAGTCCTATAACTTTTTGAATCTTATGTTGTCCTGACTTAATTTAACTAATGTAAATAAATGTATGATGAGGTCTACTCACCACCCAATGCGCGCGTCTGGCAGCGATTGGTGGGTTGATATCATCACGATACCAACCAATGAGTAGACCATTCGGTCATCTCAACAATATCACCATGTCTGTGATATTGTTAAGCGAATGTTCTACGTAATATTCTTTATTATCAAATTGTTCTTAATGACAATTTCATGTAACGGGCTACCCCGTTACATATCCCCTCCCTTATCTGATAGTCACTGTGTGACTATCGAATACTTGGTGGCCACCCGTTGGCCACCAGTGGGACAGGGAGCACTTGTCTGGTCAGACCCATTCACTCCTGACCCTGCCTCGCATAGTCAAGATGTCTATGCGAGGTGATTTGAAGACCACACAGCCTGCTACTGTGTCAGCCTCTGCGGCAGACGCTTCTTCGTCTGCTGCTTTTCTCCGTCTGCAGCAGAAGATGCTGCAGACGCACGCGGTATCGCACCACGTGCACATGATGACCTTGACAATGAGGTCATCAATTATGGCGAGTCAGACGTGCCTGACTTGCGCAACGTTCCAGAGGCATCCCGATCACTGGCGGTGCCTCATCGTTCGTCAAGAGCACTGTCGAACAAGCGAACTCGTGAAATGCAACACAGTCTGTTCGGCAGTGATAATGAATTCTATGGTGAGGAATACTATGCCTCACCAGCATCAACTCGCGCTTCCCCGAAAGAGCGTGATGACGATGACGAGAGCCGTCGTCATTCTGATAGCCGTGGTATCGAAACAGGTACCACATTGAAGCGTGGTGAGCTCAAGCCGTGGCGCTTGTCCGACCAGCTCATCGATAGCCTGTCTCACGAGACAAGCCAGCACCATCGAATTTTATTATCCGATGCAACTGAGCTTCATGGCTTAAGTCCCAGCGCGATAAACTTTCGCGCTGAAGAAGACTTTTATCTCGATGCCTTCTTTAGGCATCGATGGTACAATGGCAACCAAAAGCGTGACAAGAACTCGCTTTTGGCAGCGTGGAACGCCTTCGTCCAAAATGTCAAGAATTTTGGACGAGAAGGGTGGCTTAAGAAGATTGAGGCGATACGCATCAAGTTCGAAAAGCGAACGTCAACCGGTGCAAGGTACCGGTTGCATTGTTTGTCAAGTGAGGCCGGCATTGAATGCCTCACTTGGGGTGTTCTTTGTGCGAGCTGTGTTGACAACTCGCAACGTGCACATAGGGACGTGTATTCTCTAAGTTCGCCCTGGGGAAGGGCTCACATCTTGGCTGAGATGTGGGACGCGATTGCAAACTTGCAATCCGTCTACAAGGGCCAAAAGCGCGTGTTTACCGATGGGCCCTCGGACCAATCGGATGAGTCTCGTCATACTGGTGGACGAGACCTTCAACGTCAGCCATCAGCTGGGAATCTCGTTCCCAGCTGTCAAAGGAAGATGGGTACCCCCGCCACTGGACGAGGTAGCTCTTCCTTGATCCTGAATCGCCACGGTGGTTCAAGATACGCTCCACGAGAGAGCTTTGACCACCGTGGGAATCCACCAGTGGTTCTGGTGGTGGTGGAAAGACAAGGTCCAGCTCAGCCACCGGGCCTGCACGATACTTTGGGTAACCACGAGCGTTACCTGACCGAGCTATGGGAGGACGTCGAGCACAAATACAACCGACGGCACGCCTTGAAGTCGGACGTGCGACGTCTTCGTGCCGATCGGGAGAAGGACCAATCTGAATTTGCGTTCGCTTAGCTTGAGAGTGAACGCGAGAGGCGTCGTTTGCGCGACGCGATAGAGACGGCTCGTCGCGAAGCCGCGTCGACGAAGGACCAACTCCTTTCGACGAAGGACCAACTTGAATGTTTGTTCCGTGATCACAAGAATCTGTTGGGGATTCTTGAGCGTGCCCGTTTTCTCCGTTCTCGCAAGTGGCCTCGTACTGATGTTACGGGCGGAGACGACCAAAATAAAACGTAGGATGCGTGCGTAT